TTTCAAAGACTGCCAATCTTTGGGCTATGCAAGGGGAGTTCTAGGCACGGGACTCTTATCTCGGCACCATCTTTTCACATGCTTTTCATTGATTTTTCCATCCAGCAGTTACAGTCAGACCTCCTCCTGGAACCATGCTTCCACCCTGGATATACGACGACAATGGCCACCAGAAAGCTTTACGGGAGCTACTGCAGCAGGAAATTTAATAACTTGGATCAAGGGGATACCATAAGAATCCAAGGCACTGGGAACTTTCTAGAATGCCAGAGAAGCATCCTTGAGCTCTTCAACGCCAGTTTTTGCAATACCTACGATTGTGTCTTTGATTCGGTTCACGTACCACCAATCTGGGGAAAATTTGGAGTAAGTTTGCGAAGTGATAAGGTGTTTTGGTTTTGCTTAGAATGATCTGGGCTGCAAAGAATTTAAAGAATAGGATTGATGTGTTTCTTTTACATAGTAACTTTCTAGGGAGATAATTTATGGCTCGCTCCCCAGGTCCGTGTTAGAACTTGAGATCAGCTTCTCCGTTTCCTTGGCTTTCTTGTGTTCAAAACAGGTGCCGTGCTAAGTAGGCATCATAGCTTCCCTCACCTGCAAAGCCAAGCAAGCAAGAAGTTTCTCTCCTACATCTCTCCCTCCCACTTTGCAGAGGTGTCAGTAAACATCTTTCCAAATCCCATTGGCCAGAATTTGATGAAAAGTACATCTTTCAACCCACTTGTGATTAAAGGAGAGTGGATTACGATGGCTGTTTTAGACTTATTCTTTTTGCCCTGGAATGGGAGACTCTTTCTTGAGCATGTTTCTTCCCTATATGTGTTAGGCTGGGTTGGCTAGAGAAACAAATCCAGTGAAATTCATATATGTATAAGAAAGAGCTTTATGTCAAGATATAATTATATATCAAGAAAGCATCCCAGCCCAGTCCAATTCAAGTCCATAAGTCCAACAGTAGTCCCTAAGTCCCTCTGCAGACTCACATAGAATGTAGGGTCACAGGTTGGTGGGTGGAAAGTCGTGTGGATCCAACGATGATGGCTTTGGCTGCAAACAGGATCAGTCAGCAGAAAGGTGATGGCAGAGAGAGAGAGAGAGAGATGGGGAGGTTCCCAAGGCCCTCCTTATGAGAAGGCCATGCCCACAAGGAGGCACCATCAGTCTGTGACCTGATGGACAGGTTGAATACCATCCCTACACTTTGATCTTCAAGTTGACATAAAATTATGTAACTACCACACTATATATGGGGAAAATCCGGATCTTATAAGCAAAGAAAAAGAGGGATGATTATGGGTAGGCAGCCATCAGGACTTGCTGCAGATAATTTCTCAAATGTCAGAAGCAGCAGCAGCCATCAGGTGAGGATTTTCCTCTACAAAGATGTTTAGGAATTAGAAACTTAGACTCCCAAGGGAACATTGGGCTTGGCATCATTTTCATTACATTTTGAAGTTTGGGGAATTATTTGGATCCCAGTTCCAAGCTCCTTCTGAAAAGACATTTCTCTAAAGAAGATAAGTGAATAACCTCTAAGTACACAAGAAGATGCAAATTAAGACCACAGATGGGGTACCACTTCAAGTCCAACAGAACAGCTATTATCAGAAGAAAAAACAACAAGAAAAACAAACAGAAAAAGCACCTGAAATAAATGTTAAGGACAATGTGGGGAGATTGGAACTCTTCTGTATCACTGGTGGGAATGTAAAATGGTACAACTGCTGTGGCAAAGTTTGGTGGTGCTTCAAAAAATCAAACAGAATAACCTACCGTATGGCCCAGCAATTCCACTTGTACATATACACTTAAGAGACTGAAGGTAGATCATGCACATCATTGTTCATTGTAGCATTCTTCATAGTAGTCAAAATGTAGAAATAATCCACATGTCTAGCAACAGATGAATGAATAAACATACAAAGAAATGGAGTTGTGATATATACTATGGCATGGATGAATCTTGAAAACATGTTGATTGAAATGTCAGATATAAAAAAGACAAATGTTGTATGAACCCACTTATATGAATTATCTAGAATAGGCAGGTGGATAGCAACAAAACTTTTATTAGTGATTAGCAAGGTCTGGGGAAAGGTGGGAAGGGGTGTTGTTGATGAAAGAATAGTGAGGTTTTGTTAGGGGTTTCCATTCAGGGTTCTAATAAGTGTCCAGTAAGGGATCAAAAACTATTGGAAATAGATAGTGGTGATGGATGCACAGCATGTGAACTATAATTAATGCTACTGAATTCTATGTATTTAAACAGCAAACTTTATATATATATCTATATGATTTTTAAAAGAATAGAAAAATCAATTGCCAAGTAGCTCAGAAATTTATGTCAGTAGCACAGTGATCCTTGTTCCAAAAAGGATGCAGCTCCTGGATCTAGAACTTCACTTGGTTCATTAAATCCCTCAGCAGAGATTTCCAAGTACTTGTGCTAGGGGCCTCTGGAAAGCCTCTCAATATCTTTGAGTTGGCCACAGCTGATAACTGCATTTCTTTCTCGTGCAGGCATTTTCAGCTTATTACTACACAATGAGCTTTTTAAACTTGACATCGGAAGACGTGTCCAGTGAGGAGATGGTGACTCGGAAGATGGAGGAGTTCTGCTCCACACCCTGGGCTGTGGTGCGTGATCAGAAAGAGCAGCTCTCACAACTACCCTGCGCCCTTGGTAGCCTTAGCTTCCTCTTCACATGCTTCTAGTTTGCCCTGGCGAAGATCTAACCAATGTATTAGAGAGGCTTAGATTGCGGACTGAATTAGAAATACATCTGCCTCTAAATGAGCTAACAACATTGGGAAGCTTAAACAAATAAGGTTTTATTTATTTTTCTTACCTAACACAAGGTCTGGCCAGGGTCAGCAGCTTGACAATGTCTTAGTCGTTGCCTCTTCTGTTATTGTGACTATTTCCTCATGGACACAAGATGTAGCTTCATCAGGGATCACAGCCATGATCAAGCCCAGAAGGATAGAATTAGATGCATCTTTTTAAAGGAAAATAAAGCTATCCCAGAAGGTGCTCAGAAATCGTTTCCTTACATCTCTTTAGCCAGGGCTCAGTGAGAAAGCAGGGTACAGAATTTTATGACTGTCTTAGAGCCTGAGAGCTCCCTGGAGCTGGCCACATTACTGCCAACTCCTTTTCTCCAGCCTCACAGTCAGCATTCTCTCAGCAAGGAAAGCAGGCCACTTCATAGAAGACACCACAGACACTATTGTGGTAAGACCCTTTTTCACCACTGCTCATGTCCAAGATGCCCCCTGCTCCTCATCATTTGAAGCACGTTTACTTTTTGGAATTGGAGGCACTGCGTCATTCAATAGCCACTCACTGGCCCCTAGTGAAAGTGTCCGGAAAAGAAAGAGGTTATTGGCCCACTCCAGTTATAAAAGATACTTGGCATAGAACAAAAATAAACGCACTGCCATTGAGTCAGTCTTGGCTCACAGCAGTCCTGTACAGAACTGCCTCCGGAGGTTGCCAAGGCCATCACTCTTGACGGGAGTAGAAAACCTCTTCTTCCTCTCACAGAGCAACAGAAGGTTTCAAACTGCTGACCTTATGGTGTGCAGCCCAACACTTAACCCACCATGTCACGTGGGCCTCTACATCACATAGGGGCAAACTCAAAAGAGCGGCTATTTTAAGTTGATACAGCTGCAGAAGGGAATAGTGCTTTCCTCCTATGCAAAGACATTCATTAAAACTAGAAGCACTGACCAAAGGGGAAGAAAGGTTGCGCAAGAGCCTGTAGATGGGGAGTTCTTCCCACGTTTGCTGCCGGAGTTAGAGCATCAAGAAAGGGGATCCAGGGCCTTCAGCAAGCGCTGCTCACACGCGTGTCAGCACTTTACAATTTACAAATGTTCGGGGGAAGCTTTTTGTAGTTGATGGTGGTCTGTGAAAGACGAGAAGCATCTTACGAAGAGGCAACTCAAGTCTAGGCCGATGTGGTGAAGGCGGCTATTTAAGCTGCTCTTTGGGGTGGGGAATCGCGTCTTGCTCAGAGTGAGAGCTCGGTCACATCCCCTTTCCTTACCCTCGCCAGTTTCATCAGCTTGCTTTGCAGTGGGAATGCTCGTACGCAGACCTAGGTTCTGTTCTGATAAGCCATGGGAAATTATGCAAAGGCCCCATTAGTAGGCTTAGAAAATTCTGCATGTGGGGGAAATGCTGAAATATTTAAAGGCACTCTGGTGGTGTAATGGTTACACACTGGGCTGCTACCCACAAGGCCGTCAGTTCAAAACCACCAGCTATTAGGTGAGCGAAAGATGAGGCTTTCTGCTCCGTGAACAGTTACAACTTCAGAAACCTACAAAGGCCGTTCTAGCCTGTCCTACAGGGTCTGTATGAGTCGGCCTTAACTTGATGGTAGTGAGTTTTGAGTCATGAAAGAGTTGTGGAAGAGGAGAGCAGGATGTGGCCTGCATTCTCCTTCAACAAGTCCTCCATTGTTGACATGGCCATGATTTCCCCAACTGTATTGCCACCCCTTGTAAACATAGTTTGGTCAAATACTTTTCACAGGGTAACCCTTTTCTTTTCCTTTAAACCTCACCCTGAGCAAAGACTGCTACCCAAGTGTGCTCAAGTTTGGGAATGTTCCTTCTATAGATCCTTGGCAGAGAGCTAACAATCAATAAGCCAGTATTATGTGTTGACAAGTAGACACTTTGCACATATTATGCCATGATTTAGATGGGGAAATAAAAGGAAGAGCACACCACTGATGTCTGTAGTTACCTCAAATCACTGGATTCCCCAAGGCAGAGAGAGGGAAGTCAAAGTGGCAGTCCATGGTCATCCCCTAGAAGGTTAATTAGAGGGTCATACATCTTTTCAGTGACCCGAATTTAGCCACCTTTACATCCTGCCAATCTGGTCATGCAAAGAACAGCCCAAGTAAATAATTCTTTAAGCTTCTATGCATACTGATAATTAGGTATTTCTGAGTCCTGATGTTCAGCCTCGTGGATTTCTAACCTTTCTAGGCCAGAAATCCTGCATATCCTCCTTAGTGTAGGCTATTCCCCTGTGTGTGAGAATGCGGAGAAGAAATGGGTGAGGAGGAGAAAACCTGGTACTGGCCCCACTGTCTGGGGAATTGAAAGGGAAGAGCGAGAGAGAAGGATGATTAATCCTTCTGTGTGGTAATAAGATCACAAACATTACCATGACACATTCTATGAGCTCTTTCTCCCAGCCCTAAATGAATGGGTAAATACAGGCCCACCCCTAAAATACTACATAGGCTGCAGCACCATGTGAGCTGGGGGATTTCTCCTCTCTCTCATAGTGGGAAAGAGGGCTAAAGAGAAGTGGTGGCCATTGTATAAATCTATCCTCTTCACTCCTAGGTGAACACAACTTTTGCTGATGTGAATAAGAAGTACTTGAGTGAGTACTGCTTTTCTGGCACCTACGTTTTAACCCTCCTTCAAAAGCTTGGTTTCACAGAGTACTGGAATCAAATCGAATTCTTGAACAAGGTAATTTGAGTATGTTTTGTGTTGGGGGGAGGTTGCTGGTAGTGACAAAAGCAGTTTCCGTCTTGAAAGTGGTGAAAGTCCACCTGGTTTTTAGTTTGGACCTGATACTTTGTTCCCCCACTTCATCTCTAATCCGAGTTGCCACTTTGTGACAAGCCCTTCTGGGTATGTTACTAGCATCGTCCTTCTGCTCAGATTACCATGACTAACATCTTATGAAACTAAAATATGAGATATTAAAATAACGTAACAGCATGTTCGTAGCTGCAGGGATTCTGTATGCTGACTCTCATATCCATCCCAAAGACCCTTTCTTCATGCCAGCAAAAGCTGATCATGGTCTCTTGCAAGAGATAAATAGCTCTGTTGATTGTGGCTCTTAAGGCCAACTGCTTCAAGGTTGACCAATCTGAAAACTATGTGACGAAGGGGACTGGATGGCTTTGAAGGGGCCATTGCTTAGAAGCCTGAGCCCAGAAATAACGTCATTATTGTGCTGTACTACACCGCCACCTGCAGTTATCCAGGTGCAGAGCAATATTTACATCCGCTGTGCAACAGCAGCCTTTTAGTATCTTTTTAAGCCCATGCCCATTAATGGAAAAACATTTTACCTGCTTTATTAAGTATTGTGATTTCAAGCAAAACAAAATGTTAGAACAAAGGACTGTTTCATCCCTGAGGATACCAGTTTCATTATACTCTTGTTGGTAAACTCCATTAATTCAAATGCCAGCATTTTCCTTGTTTTAATATCCCTTCCTTCCATTCCATCACAAGTTTTCATTTCTTTGAAGGCTATGTCTGTGTGTAACTTAAGATAGATGCTCAGAGCATTCTTGATTTATCTTCTTTGAACTATAAACAAGGCAATAACTATCTAGGCCAGAGCTCGGCAAACTTTTGAGAAGAGCCAATTCTGTCTCTCACAACAATTAAAAAATTACTGGAGCGTCAAAAAAATATTTTTACAAACAAATGAAATCACGATTATCTGAATAATGTTCTTTAAATTATTTCAATTTTACTTCAGAGCCACAAGTATGTTTCGAAAGAGCCACATTATCTCAAGAACCCGATCTAAGCAATAACTCTTCCAACTCAGGACCCCTTATCAACAGACGCACTCCCATAAGCTTTCTATCCCTCAGAGGGCAGGTACTCTTTTAGAAATGGCTTATTCCCAGTGTTGGTAAATGTTTGGGGAGAGAGGGAGTTCCACATTATTGTTTAGAATGTAAATCAGCACAACCTTTCAGGAGATTATTTTGACAGTATGTTCCAGGGATCTTAAAAACATACACATCATTTAATACAATTACTCTATTCTTAAGATACGTAAATAATTAAACTGAGCAAAAAATGAATATGTCAGAGTGTTCAGGCCAGAAATGTAGAAATATCTTACGAGTCAAAGAATGATGTTCATAAAGTTTCATTAAGTGAGCAAACTATACAATTTAGTATCATTTTTTATGCATTTGAAAAAAGTAAATTGCATATAGAGAGACCATGAAGGATAGGTCATAAAATGATGCCAACAGCAACTTCCGAGTGGTTAAAACAGTCTGATTTCATGTTCTCCTTTAGCTTCTGTGTAGAAGATGCCAGAGCACGCTTCACCATTTATGAAGAATCCTTGCACATGCATACGTATCATCTTCTGATCTTGATAAAGTGAGATTGATTTTCCAATGTTTCTCTAGATGAGTCACGAAGAAGTCCTGGTTACACAGGGAGCTCATTTGCCTCCTTCTTGCCACCTCCACCCTCACGCTCACAGCAACAGAACACATAGAGATCTCCAAAGGACTCTCTTAACGACTAAGTTCTTTTAGGCAGGTGATCACATATCCCATTCTCAGCCTGGCTGCTGAGTGGGAGGGTTAATCAGACTAGGTAAGTATGTTCCAGGGCCAAAAGCTTGCAGGATTCATGGGCGTTTACAAATTTCTTTTGGAAATGGTAAAACTCCCAATTCTCCTTTGTAACCGCCTGCTGTTCTTTTCCCCCCACAACCATATTCCTAGTTTATATACAAACTTATGCACTGAGAAAACCAAACACAGTGCCATTTACCTAGTGGTTGTCTAGTATTTTGGATGGGTTTCATGATGCTTAGGTATTGTCTCTTTGGGCCAAAAAAATAACAGACTCTCCCCACTGTTTGTAGATCAACGGCTATGCAGAAGCCGGGTGGAGTTTGGGCTACATGTTAAACCTGACCAACATGATCCCAGCAGAGCTGCCACCGCCTAAACCTTTCTCTCGCCCCACGTACATCACCCTCATGGTCTTCTTCTCCCTGCTGCTGGCGGTAGTGTTCATCCTAGGCTCGGTGATCTTTCAAAAGTCTTCACATTTTTGGAAGTAAACAGAATAGCAGGACAAGTTGAAATCTTCTGGCTGGAATGAGGAAAACACAAAACAAAATCCACCCAGGAAGCACTTTTCTCTATGGCTGCGTACAAGACCATCCTTCCCTGCTCACTGGGGCCAGTCTCGATCAGTTTAAAGCTTCCGAGCCTTTTGCTGGGAGTCATTCACCACGCTTTGCCTCAATGACTTCCCTGCAGACACTGCCTCTTTTGTCTTTCCCAATTGCCCACTCCCTTTCATACAATATTTGTGTAAGTTGTGCCACTTTTCATGCTTTTTTGCTTTATAAAAGAACAATATTGGCTTTTTCTAAAAAATTGTGTGTCCTGAGTCCTGTGTGGGGAATTAAAAAAAAAAAAAAAAAGAATCTCAGGAAATGGTTTCCTTGTACTTTAAAATTTAGAGTTCTTTTCTTTCTCCTGAGGGGCCTTGAAAAAGTTCATGGGAAAATTGAGGGAAAAGATCATGGGATTTCTTCATGCGCTTTAAAAATCCCATTCTTATCTTCCCACCGTCCCATTCTCAGCCTGTCTTCTGGGTGGAGGGTGTTCCGGACTGGGTAAGTATGTTGCAGGGTTCAATGTGCTTCAGCAGTTGATGCGATACCAAATGCAATCCAAAATAGGAGTGCGGGCAAGTTACATTTTTCTGAGTGATGCAAAACCGCTGTACCCAGACCAGAGATTTTTTAAAAGCTGTTGTTACATAGAAGTGTCCAGTCACAAGGCCGACTACATGTCAGGAAAAAAAATACAGTTGTAACTTAGGGTTGGGGAAAATTTATCCTCCAATTCATTCATTCATTGTTTTTTGTTTGTTGGTTGGTTGGTTTTAAATTGTGGTAAAATACATATACCAGCATACCTCTGAAATATTGCGGGTCAGGTTCCATACCACTGCAATAAAGCTAGTCACAATAAAGTGAGTCACATGCTTTCTTGGGGGGATGGGGTTTCTCAGTAATTATCTTCACACTATATGCTGGAGAATAGCCGTGAACTGAAACCACCAGCCTTTCATTAACAGCTGATTATACTGTAAAGATGCATACTGAGATTTAAAATGATGGCATACCTTATTGGCCCAGGATTTAATTTAGTGAGAGAGCTAGATTAGCGTAGGGGAGGGGGCACAAGCGAGTTGCCAGGGAGTGGATTCTGCATCCTGGCGATGCCGGCATTACAGAGTGGAACAGTCCACTGAACGATTTTCAAGACTGACCTCTCAGACGCAAATCACCAGGCTTTTCTTTCAAAGCACTAAAGGTGGGTCCAAACTGCCAACCTTTTGGTTGGTAATTGAATGCTTAACCCCTGCTGGAGAACGGCATGCTTTTGTGCAGTCACAGTGTTTACAAACACCCTAGGGTGTTTGTAAAGGCTCACAGTTTGGTCTCCCTTCCCACCTTATTCTGTGGAATAGTTTGTGGGAGAAGAAAAGTGGAAATAGGAGACTCTTTAAGGATTACCTTAATAGTTACCAGTTTGCAGGACTGAGTCCCAAACTGGAATTGTGGAGCTGATGAAGGAAGGAGAGGTCTCCCACACACTAGAACTCACATCCCCCTATATGTCTTGAGCCAGGCTGATTTTGAAAATGTAAACTTCATGAAACGGTGGGCATGAACTCCACTTCTTTGCTACACACAACTGATTTTGTTGGATCTTAGTAATCGCCGTACTTAGTCAATCTTTATGCTGGGCATATCAGAGAAGCTGGATTATATGAAGAAGAACATGGTATCAGGATTGGAGGAAGGCTTATCAACAATGTGCAAAATGAAGATGACATAATCTTGCTGAAAGCGAGGAGGACTCGAAGCACTTTCATTGAAGATCAAGGAGTGCGGCCTTCAGGATGGAGTACAATTCAATGTTAAAAAGATCAAAATCCTCACAAGTGGACCAATAGGTAACATCATAATAAATGAGATACGATTGAAGTTGTCACGGATTTTGTCTTGCAAAATCTACAATCAATACTCATAGAAGCAGCAGTCAAGCGATCAAATGGCACATTGCATTGGGTAAATCTGCACAAGACCCCTTTGGAGTGTTGAAAATCAGGAAGGTTACTTTGAGAACTAAGGTGTGCCTGACTGAAGCCATGGAATTTCCAATGGCCTCATATGCACGTGAAAGCTGGACACTGAGTAAGAATCGGTACGTCTGAATTGTGCAGCTGAAGAATATTGCAAGTACCATGGACTGTCAAAAGAACAAACAGATCTGACTTGGAAGAAGTATAGCCAGAGTGCTCACTTAACTTTGGATACGTAGTCAGGAGAGACCAATCCCGAGAGGACATCATGCTTGGAAGAGTGGCAGCAGCAGAAAAGAGGGAGGCGCGCAGTGAGGACGGACACAGTGGCTGCACAATGGGCTCAGGGAGAGGAGCACCTGAGGATGGAGGACTGTTTGTTTTCTCGTGCAGAGGGTGCTGTGGGTCAGAGCCAACTTGAGAGCAGGAAACAAGATAGTAATCAGAAGCCAAATCAGGACACTTCCCCCCCCCCCCATCATTTCAGTTTTCAATTTCTTTATCATTGGCCTTAGTAATTGGTGCACACATTTGAATAATAGGCCTATTAGCTAGCCTTCCTTGTGGGCATATGGAGATTTCTTAAGCTGTGTTTCCTAAAGGAACAAAATTAGTGGTGCATATATAAATACATACAAATATGTTGCTATTGTTTGGTTCTGTAGAGTCAGTTCTGCCTCATAGTGGCCAAATCAGGACACTTAACCCCTTTTGTAGTAATTAGCTACACTGTTATAGCTTCTATTTTGTGAGTTTTTGCTTCTTTTACAGCCAGCCATGCTTACATTTATTTTCTCATTTTGCCCTTGCAATTATCTGAAAAAGGAAGCTATTCAGATTATTATAAAGTTTAAATGTATTCAGATTATTCTAAGGATTACATTTGGGCAAATGGTGGAGCCAGTGTCCAATAGCAGGAACCTAACTAGTCCTTTCTCTTCGAAATGCACTCAGCTGCTGCTTCGTAATTCCCAAGCATAAATTTAGGTTTGCATGGCACGGAGGACAGGGTGACAGATATTGCACAAGTGGCATACACTACTAATCAATGATTACCATACCCTTGGATTCATGGTCTCTGCACAATAGATTGGCATCAAATAAATAGTAGTTGATAAAAACCAAAGTTCAACTGAGTCAGTCATAGTCTCTTTCCCCATTTATCTGCATAGATACAGCACTGGTGGTTCACATTATCTATTGATACAACTAGTAAATCATGAAGGTTTTCAGTGTATTAATTTCATTTTACAAATAAGGAAACTGCTTGGAGTCACAGAGACTCATATATATCAGAGCTGGTACTCAAATTCATATCCTCTGACTCCAAGTCTATTACTTTTTTTCCCCCTAAACACTTGTATTAATCCGGGTAGACTAGAGAAATAAATTCAGAGACAATCATAAGTGTGTAAGAAAGAACTTTATATACAAGAGCAACTGAATATTGAGAAAACATATCAGCCCAGTCCAGATCAAGTCCTTAAGTCCGATACTAGCCCATATGTCCAATACCAATGTATAAAGTCCTGTTCAGACTCACGCAACACATGCAATGACACCGAATGCAGGAAGATCCAGGTCAGTGGGTGGAACATCTTGTGGACCTAGTGGTGGTATAACTATCTCAACACTGGGGCAGGTCTCCACATGGCTCCTCCAACTTCGGACTCTAGTGTAGCTCCATGTGTCTTCTCAACAGGAATTTCTCACAGGGAGTGACTGTGTATCCTGCCTCCAATGAGCAATTTGTCTCCTTAGCACCTCCAAATGAAGTCATTAAGCTACAACCTGATTGACAGGCTAAACTCCACCCTTTCACCCTTGTGGTAGTTATATAATCACTTGTTAATTTGAAAGGATTAAGAGTGAAGGGGTGGAGTCTAGCCTGTCAATCAGATCATAGCCAATGAGGCATGGCCTTAACCTGAGGATTTTGGGAACCCCTGTATTCCTCCTTGGAGGCATGAGATACACTCTCTCTGCTGGCTCCCTGGGAGGCATTGAAGCTGACAAGTGACATGGAACTACACTAGTGCCCTGAGTTGGAGACACCACGTGGAGACCACTGCCAGCGCTGAGATGCCTACATCGCCACTGGATCCACAAGACCTTCTACCCACTGGCCTGTGATCTTCCTGCATTCAGTGTCATTGCATGTGTTTCATGAATCTGAAGAGGACTTCATAGATTGGTATTGGACATATGGGCTAATATCAGACTTATGGACTTGATTGGGAATGGGCTGGGATGTTTTCTTAATATACAATTATTCTTTATATAAAGCTTTCTTATACACATGAGTGTCTATACATTTGTTTCTCTAGGCTACCCAGACTAAAACAACTCTTAGTCTCAAATTGACAACAGATTATGTAACTACCACAACACTGTTCTTCAGTAAATTGGAATTCACAATTTCTCTGGTGAACACTGAAAAATCTTTTCCTTGTTCTATCTGGTTGCCTAGATCCAAATCCCTACATACACACACAAATCCTAAAACAAAAAATGCTTTATGGTATTTGGAACCCAAACTTCATTTGTCATAAATTTCAAATCATCATGAAGCTGATCAGCCAATGAACAGGCATACCTAACTTCAATTCTACTGAAGGGAAAATCGGCTTTGAGGCTGATCTAAAAATATGCATTGGACTATTCCAGATGGGGCAAGCCAAATAAGATGATTCAGTGCCAACTAATATTCATATTATATAAGCATTGTTTTTTACCATAACAGTCCTCTTGGCACATAGTTTACATATCATACAATTGTTTTTTAGAATTATTTATTGCTCTACAGAATCTGGTTCTGGTGACTCACTCCATTCTTTACAGAAACTTTTTTTCTATCAATGCGCAGCAGGAAACATCCTGTTTAATTAGCTCTGTAGACAAAAGAACCCCCGACCTCCTTTCTGCTACCGAGTCTGTTCTTAGTCAGCGCAGACCTATGGGCCAGGGTAAAGTTGCCCGTGTGGGTTTCTGAGACTAACTTGTTACACACTAGAAAGCCTCGTGCTTTTTTCCAGCTGTCTGGAAAGAGGGCAGACAGTCAGACTGAGCATGCCTACCCAGAGCAGCCAACCATGTTCCAAAAACAGAAGAGGGTCCAGTTGGGAGAAACTGGCAAGAAGCTCTTGCGTTACTACAAGAACATATCGACAACGTGTTTAAGGAATATGTTTAAAGCTGAAAAGACAGAGGGAATAATCCTTTCTTTCCCAGAGGTGAGGGAGATTTTTGGAAAACCAGCCACAAATGCTATGGCAGTCTTACTTTTATTAAATGTGAGATTTAATATGAG